CGTAAACAGCCGAGGAACTGAACCTTCCCTCTCACAATGCATCTCATGGGCTGTGAGCCCTGGTACCAATAAAAAAGAAAAAAGACCAAAAAAAAAAAAAAAATGACTCAAGGGACTCTAAGTCCTCGATAAGATAAGGTCTGACCCAAACTACCTGACATGCAGTAAGACCTGTAAGTAGGAAACTGCATTTGTAAGAAAAGGAGATTCATTCCTAGTTTGATTTCATTTAGTCCCAGACAATGTATTTTTTATCGTGCTTTCTAATATTCTAAAAATGCCCACATAGTTTAAAAATGCATGGGAAACGCAATTCAGCTACAGCCATCCAAGGTGCCAGAGGAGAGAGCTGCTCTTTAGGCTAGTGTTGCAGCATTGAGCAGGACTCCTGGGGGACTAACTGGGACCTCAGGGAAGGGGCAGGGAGGCCGCTGCCTCCTCTGAGTGTCTTCCTGAGGTGCGATCCAAGTTACAGTGAGCACTGCTGCTGAGGGTCACGCAGTGGAAAGGCAGCTCCTAAAGTCAGGGTGCTCACTCCTCACCGCTGTGTGCACAGGGTCTGCCATTGGCTCTGCTCCAAAGTCATAAGGACCGTAAAAGGGACATGTTTTGAATCAGTTCAGGACAGGGAGGCAGCCATGACAGGGTCACAAGAGACACTCAAGAAAGGGAACTTCCAGAACCGCTTCAGACAGCAGCAAGCACCGTGGGATGAGTCCGCACAGGGAGGGGTGGGTGGTGAGGTGCGCTTCCCGGGAATACCCCCGAAGGTCCTGCTGCCTTCGAACCCAGCTCTTCGGAGAACTAACTACACCACCGGCTCTACCATGGGATCTGCACTCTTAGTGAGGCTTCTGCCACTTCTAATAGACATTTTAACAATTCCTCCTCTTTTTGTAAATTAAGTGTTTCTATCACGTGGAGTTACATTTTTTTCTTCAATTCTGGAAAATTTTCAACTGTTATCTCAAAGTTATGCTTGCCCACCATCCCCTTGATTCTTTTCTCCTGGCAATCTATTCTTATGCCTCTTAGGTTTTCTTCCTTTTTAAAACTTAATTTTTGTTTGTTTGTTTTACAGGGTCTCACTCTGTTATTCAGGCTGGCCTCAAACTTGTGGGGATCCTCCTGCCTCAGCCTCCAAGTGCTGGGAATTACAGGTGTGTACCATGTTGCCCTGCTGGCTGGCTTCCTTTTCTTTTCTTTTTTCTTCCTTCCTTCCTTCCTTCCTTCCTTCCTTCCTTCCTTCCTTCCTTCCTTCCCTCCTTCCCTCCCTCCCTCCCTCCCTCTGTGAATGCCTTAATTTTAGCTTTAGAATCTAGTATACTAATTCCTTCTCAGGGTTAATCTAAAATATTAAGACATTTTACTATTTCAGCAGCACTTTCCCATTGCTGTGATTATGAAACATTTTCACATTTGTCCTTGTGCACCTGTACTTGGCTTGCTATGTGGAAGTGCTCCTCACGGGCGTGTGCCCTTTCTGTCATAGGTCACTTGCCACGATTCTCCTATGTAGACCCAGCCAGCAAACGTGGTAGGTCCTGCGGGTCGCATGACCTCAGCACTCTACTCTGTACAGCGACAAAACCCACGGGCAACAGTGACCATCTTGGGCTCAGCACAGCTGGTTTATAAAAACCTTTCAAAATAAGACCCCTGCTGGGCATGGCAGCACACGCCTGTAATTCCACACTTGGGAGGCTGAAGCAAGAAGATTCCTGCAAATTCAAGGCCAGAAGGGCTTGAATTTGCAGGGCTACATAGTGAGTTCAAAGTCAGCCTGAACTGCATAGTGAGACCCTGTCTCAAAAAAGAAAAGTCACCAATTGGGAATGGAGGGGATAGCAGCGCACAGGAGGTCCTGACCAGCCTGGGTGACACGGTGAGATCCCATTTCAAAGAAACAAACAAATGACAATATGGGTCAGTGCAGGCACTCTGGAAACCAACTCAGCAGATGGTCAGTCGTGAAACCCAGTGACCGCACCCAAGGCAGAGACGATCCAGCGCTCCCCGCCTGGGTGTCACACAGGCCACGCAGCCAAAAAGAGCTGGAGTGTCCCATGCTCCCGGTCAGCAGAGACAGAAACTTTTCCCCTACTAATCCTGGGTTGGAGGTAAGTGATGTGGATTTCAGCAGATCAGGCTGAGGTCAAGCTGAACACAGAGTTCTAGGAATCACAGAAATAAAACAAAAGGGACGAAAGACATTCTAATCATAAAAACTTTCAAAGGAGTATCTACAAACACAGCAGAATGATAAATCAATTTTCCCCTCTGATTTCCCATCCCTAAGACTGTAGGAGTCAATGGGCACACTGATGAAGACTAATTTATTCACAAATAGTAATTATGCGCCCATTGTCACTGAATAGTCCGCAAGGCCCCAGGGATTTTGAGATGAACACTGAATGCTCCTGGCCCCCGAGGAGTTCATAATTTATCACAGAAACCGGTCACATGCCCTCTACACGTCACCGCTCTGCTGTGTGACAGGTGCTATAAGGATCGCAGAAGTCAGGATGGTAAGCACCAAGAGGAAGGAGTAATCTGCCGTCACTCCGTAAAGAGGCGACTCCCAGGGGTCACTTCTGGAACCCTGGAGAAGTGAGGTGAGGCCTTGTGTTTATGAAGCTGGGCCAGGGTTATTCCGGGCACCTTTGGGAGCTAAGGAAGATGGAGAAGGGGGCCAAGCCCCTTCCACTCCCTCCTGCTCAGGTCCCCTGTCACACACACAGAGAGGTTTTATCAAGCAATGATGAGCCCAGACAGAGGTTTCCTGTGTGACCAAAGATGGCAGGACCAGGTGACGATAGGGAAGAATGAATAGAAAAGCCTGGTCAGGAAGAAGGATGAGTAAAGACTACATCGGGGATGCCGCGATGGCTCATGGGTTGGCTATAGAGACGTTCATAGGCCTGTAAATTATCCAGGGTGGGCTTGAACTTGTGACCCTCCTGCCCTAGCCTCCCAGTGCTGGGGTTGCAGGTATGTACTGGCCCATCTCCAGTGACAGCACGCAACACTGGTGCTGACATATGACTGTTTTAGGGAAGAGAAAAACAGTCTTTCCTTCCAAAAAAAGAGCACCCATTTTAACAGGATGAATCTCAAGTTGAATGAAAACATAACTTCTGGATAAATTCTGTGTCCCACGAAAAAACAGGATTGCTACACTGAATCTTCTTTATTGAAGAAGTCTTTCTGATTTCTGACACAGGGCCTAGCTGTGTAGTTGTAGTTGGCTTTGAACTCATAATGTAGCCCAGGCTGGCCTCGAACTTGAGGGTCTTTCCTGCCTCAGTTTCCTGAATGACGGGAGGACAGAGAGGTGCCACTATCCCTGATTCTTTATTGAAAAACGTGAGAGTACTTATACCTTGCAGTAATACTTCTGCTTACCCAGTGATCATGTGCTAAGTGAGTGCAGAGATTGCTGCTGGCTAGATGTTACTCCCCTAAAACACCCACAAGCTGCACAAGACAATCTCTTTACCTCAGAATTTAAATTTTCTTTTTATTTTTTTTATCTCCCCTGACCCAGCTCAGGCACTGGGACGCTTTCCCTGTACTGGGTGACATCTGGTGAGTAACAATGGCTCTAGATGTGCTCTGGGGTTTACAGTCGGCCTCCTGCTGAGGCCCTGAGTGTGAGTAATTCCTCTGTGACCAGTATGCCCAGTTTCAGATCTCTAGAAGCTTAGGGAAGACAAGTGCTCAGTGGCCAGGAGTCATCCCTGGCCTTGCTACTGCCGGAGCTCTGAGGCTGCAGTTGCCCAGGGGGTTTGGCTGTTGGCTGTTATCCCTCATCCTGAGAATCCCTTCCTAGAGCCCCAGTCTCAACAACAAGACAGAACCGGATCCTGAAACTAGCTGAGGACCAGCAGAGGGAAGAAAGAAGGGCAGCGGATGTGGTGTGAGCAGGAGGCCCCAGGGAGGCCTGGTGACACTCTCCGGATGGCCTGGGGCGGCCAGGAGCCGATGTGGGACGCAGCCCTCAGAGCACAGGAGGCTTGCTTAGAATCCAAAAGCACAGGGAGCAGCCCCGAGCCTGTGAGTCATCTGCAGGGATTCACACCCCAAGGACAAAGCTGCCCTGGCAGTAACACCCACGGCCTGAGGATAGACGGCAGGAAGGACAGACAAGCAGCAAGGGTCTCTTGGCGGCTGCAGAGCTGACCACCCACCCCAAACACACTCTTCTCTTGTGAGACAGGGTCTTGCTATACAGCCCAGACTGGCCTGGCACTCACGATGATCTTCCTGCCTCAGCCTCTGGATGCTGAGATAATATGATTTGCCACTGTGCCCATTTTCCTTCCTTTTTTTTTGGTACCAGGGATCGAACTCATGACCTGGCACTCGCCTGGCAGGCGCTTGTACCGCTGAGCTAAAACCCCAGCCTCTCCCCTCCTTTTTCATTTCCAAAAGTAATTTCCGAAGCACAAAATGCCTGGATCTCATTTTCTCTGTGGCAGCTGGAGGGGCACATGGCTGCGTGGCTGTTGCCTGGTGTACCACCCCTCCCCTGAGCCCGAGGGGACAGCCTGCCTCTGCATCAGCCCTCTATCAGGTCTCCAGTCTCCACTGAAGGTGAGCACAGCCTAAGCGGCTGAGATAGGTGACACGTGGGACTCTGGTCCTGTGCTGTGTGGACACAGTGGTCATCCCAAAGCTCAGGGGCCCTGAGCACTCAGAATCGCTCATGTGCAAAAGCCCTGGGATCAGAGCTGTGCGGTACAGACTAATGCCAGGCAAGGGGACTGTGCCTGGCACGAGCTGGTACTGGACAGGGACAGTGGGCAGCGCAGGGACAGCAGCTGGCCGTGCCTACGCTGGTCCCCAGTGTGCCGGTTTCCTGGTGGTGTTGGGGCTGCCGCAGAGCTGCACTGGGCAGACTCATGATCTTCATCTGACTGGAGCCCAGGAGGCGGAGGCTTTTTAATTATTGGTTCCCAGCACGCAGATACCCACACACCCACTCCGGGGGAGCGTACCTGTGGCATTGGTCCGCCCTCTGAAGACATCATCGTAGGCCGCCCACTGTAGCTTCACCTGGTAGGCATGCACGAACACCACAAAGATCACCACCAGGCACGCCAGGGGTGCCAGGCCTGCCGAGAACAGCGCCGCATACACGTTCGGGATGCAGCACCTGCAAGACACCAGGGCAGAGCTCAGACAGCGTGGGGACAGGGCCACCCGCCACCTCCCTCCCTCCTTCCCCCCACTCCGGATCCTTCGGTCTCAGCTTCCCAAGTCTTGGGATTACAGCTGGCCACTATGCCTACCTTGGACAAACACTCTGAATTCAGAATACAGCCCTGCACCAATGCGGGCTTGCTCTCTATCCTGATGTTGGCAAAGTCAGTTTTTGGTTTGCTAAGTGAGCGCTTTGTCAAAGAGGCTGCGTGGTTCAGTCCACAGTGGTTTCTGTGCAGCATTCTGCTCTGGGGACACCCAGGGAACTTCAGGGAAGTTATGCTCCACTCAGAGTACAGAGTGCGGGAGTGCACTGTGTGCATCTGAGAGAAGTGGGGACCTGGGACAGGGATGTAGCTCAGGGCACAGTGCCTGCCTGGTAAGCGTGAGCTTGTGAGTTCAATTCCAGATACCAAAACAACAGCAACAAGGAAACACTGCCACGGCGGGCATGAGCAGCAAACCCCAAACCCCCACTGGCCTTTAGGATTCAGAGTGCTGTCTACAGCAGACGTGGGTGGATTCACTGGATTAATTCTCTACAGTGCCGAGTAAATTTCATTTAACCCATCATTTTAGACTGAAGTGACAAAGGTTTGCAGTCTTACAAACACACACACACACACACACACACACACGGACATGGGATCACAGCTCACAGCCCAGGACTAACGTTCCCCAGAACACGCTGGGATCACAGATTAGTCAGGCCCAGTTCATGCTGCAGATTAGCTGCTGGATCGTGGTGGGCTGGGGGCGCCCTAGGCCCTTTCTACTTTCTCCCTGGGCAACAGAGGTAAGCACAGGGCCATCAGGTTTTGTGATCACTGTGTCCTGCCAAGAGCGAGTCACCCCTGCATGGGCCTCTTCCAGTCTCTGGGCTCCTCAAGGTGAAGTGGACCGGGCTGAGGCCGCACTCTCACGGAGGGGCTGGGCCTGACTCTTTCCTCCTTCCTCACTTCTTACATTCTATCTCCCTTTGTCCTCCTTCCCTCTCTTCTACCATCTCTGCCTCTCTCTCTCTCATTCTGGATTTCTCTGCCTGGGATGAGCCAACCACAGGAAACACATGATGAAAGATTGTGTGACAGCAAGGAGCTAAGAACAACGCTTTCCTCTGTCCCGCTTTTCCTGCCCCTCTTCCCGGCCTACCCACCCCTGGGGAGCACATCTGAGGACACTCTCAGGGCGCACTCTGCCCCTCTGCCATCTTGGTTTCTGGCAGACGGGATGGCGGTGTGTCTTCCTCAGCTGCTCTCTTCCTCAAGGGTCTTCACCCTCTGCACCAGGAAGGCGACTGTCTATGGAGAAGCAGATGCATGACTGCATCTGCTATTCTTGGAGTTTAAAGAAACTGTAGGCCCTAACAACAACTCAGTATGCACATAAGTCTGTATTTTGGTTTCACTAAAATTACCAGGAAAATGGTCTTCTAGATATAATTGAAACTTTTTCCTCATAATGGAACGTTGTTCTTCATACAAAATCATTTACAAAAAAAAAAAAACACCTTAGAATTGAAGGCTGTTGATAGGATTGTCATTTTCTAAAAATGATGCTTGAGGCAGGTACCCTTCCTTACAAAGGACATACTTCCTGAAAATCCTAGGGCTACAGATTTTTTTGTTTTGTTTTTGTTTTTTGTCTTTTTCCTTTTTATCGGTACCAGGGATCGAACTCATGACTGCCTGCTTGCAAGGCAGGTGCTTATGCCACTGAGCTAAATCCCCAGCACCTAGGGCTACAGTTTTAATTTCAAGAAATCTTAATAGCAAGGAGGGTCTCTTCTATTTTCATAACTTCCTTTCTACTTCTAATATATAATATTTATAAGCCTAGGTTACAATAAAGCCCTGATGCTAGGCTTTGGAAAAAAAGACTCAAGAAAGCAAACATGTAACTTGCTTAGATTCTAAAATATAGGCAATTAGAGAAATCTTCATTCTCCCAGTCTGGGAAAATAGTGCCTTGATTTCACACTGAGACAGAGATACATTATTAAAGATCTCTGACCTGCTAAACACAGCCTTTGTGTGAACAAAACACACTTTACGAGATATTTCAAAGCATAATCCAACCTGCAAGGGCCTCCCAGAGTGATTTCTGCTTTTGGACTTTCCTTTGTATGACACAGAGCCCTTCCCTCTATGCTGTTCTGTGCACAGGAGGACCCATATCTTTCAGGGAAAGGCCCACGATTAAAACAAGGCAGATGCTAAGGGTCTCACAGCTATGATGCACTTCTGTGCTAATGACAGTGCTAATGTCGGCTAATTTCAACCACACCACCTGCAAATGATTACTTGATTTTTCTCATTTGAATGATGGATCCTCCGGTGACCAACCGGCCTAAACATTCTTAGGTGAATTCAGACGTAGATGAAGGACACACATAGATTTCACTGTCTTATTTTTTGCCTTGAAAAAAATGTCCTTGTGAGTTATATGGGGGACAATTACTGAACCTATCGTAACCTGCCACAGTGCCACGTTGTAGATCTGTGTGACTGTCCGACACCCACCTTCTCCCATGGTACCCCACAGAGACGGTCTCACCTCTCCACTGGAAGAGCTTTCTAGAACGTCTTAGAGAACAATCCCTGAAAGCAGAGCCCTAGCTCCCGACGCCCCCACTTCCTTACAAATAAAACCCAGAACGCTGCCTCTTGGCAGCAACCCCTCCCCCACCTGCTCCCTGCCCCTCACATAGCTGGCCAGGTGTGACTTCATCTGTGGCCTCACACTCAGTGACCTGCCTGATGTGCTACCTCTTGGGTCCAGCCACACTTGCAAAACACATCTGTAGATGAGTAGGGCCACAGGGCAAGCCAGGGAACCAAGCGCAAGCCACCACGCAGAACCCTGCCCAGGCCTTCCAACCCACAGCAAACAGGTGGCGTGGCCTACGCCACAGCAGTGTCCCTGAGTTACAGCTCCTACTCCTGACACCTTTACAGCTTTTCCTTTACAGCAAACAGGTGTTATTTTGATTTTCCGATCAATCTTATCTGACTGGGATTTCTACAGGTACATAATAACATTGATCAAAAATATTTAAAGGTACCTAGATAAATGAACTATATCCTATTTTTTGGGTGGGGGTACTTACCAATCAGTATTCCCTCCAGTCCAAAAAAGGACAAGTCCCTATCTGTCTCGGTTACTCTTTGCTCCTGGCTGGGACAAAATACCTAACACCCAACGTGAAGGAAGTAAAGATTTACTTAGCTCAGAGTTTGTGGAGGTTTCAGTCCATAATCAGCTGGCTCCAAGGCAGGGGGGCATGGCCCAGGGGCAACACTTTAAGATGGCAAAACACAGCAAAACCCCAGCCAGAGCAAGGAGGAGAGCAAGCCTCTTTTCCTCCTTCCTGTTGTAAGCAGACTACCCTTCCTGCAGGGGGCAGGGGGTGGTGGTGATGGTGGTGGTGGTGGTGGTGGTGGTGGGGGTGGTGTAGCACTCAAACCACCCCTGCCTTCCTGCATAGGCTGAGGATGTTTACAAGTGAGGCCCTGGGGAGTCTCTTATTAAACTTCTAACCTTCCCAAGTTGACACAATGTATCCACCGTTACACTATCCAAGTAACTGGAGGATCTCATGAATGTAACATGGGCGGGTAAGGAACTGTGAATAATATTTGAGGGTAGTTTCCGAACTAAGGCTAGGAACAAATTCTTGGAAAAACTGAATGTGAGAAATGAGCAGCACCAGGGCTGCGGAAGTAGCCGCTTAGTGTGCTGGCAGCTGCCCTCCCAGGGCGGGCCTGGCAGCCCCTGGAGGTGAGGAGAAGGCCATGTGGGTTCGCTTTCTCTAAAGGGCAAGGAGAGTATGTTCCTCACAATTCCCGGCTGCCCAGCCTCGCCATCCTGGCGCGGGACAGGCTGAGGCTGAGGGTTTTGCAATCACATGAGTAATTTTTGCTGTTCCCTTTTAAACCTTCACGGGTAATTTTTTTCCCTGTATTACGGACAGTCTGAGTGTTTCCAAACCTTGTCAACAGTCATCCCTTGCTCTATTTTTAGCCAGATGCAACAAGCAGATGCTGGTCATTACTTGTTTTCCTCCTTCCAAGCCTTCCTTGCAGCATTCCCAGTGTCCAAGGTCACTTTCTCATTTAATCAGCCTGTCACCTTCCCCTGCAGCCCCTTCCACTTTCTGAGAGGTCTTCATGTGCACATCCTAACTAGATTTTTATGAAAAGGCACGGGGTGTTTCAGCTTCTTCATTCCTGCATGAAGCCAGATTAGGACGCAGCTCAGAGCCAAGGTGTAGGGAGACACGGCAAATGCCTGGGCAGACGCCAGGAGCTCACTGTACCTGGAACTGTGATTCAAGCTCATTTAAAGAACCAGGTGACCCTGGCAGGCTGAAGAGTTGCAGAAAGCTGGTGGATGACTTCTGGGTTGGAGAGGTAAGGATAAAGGGACTCTGGAATGGAAACAGTAATACATGTTTGTTTCCGAGGTCTTCCTTGGAAAGCCATCTTCATGAGTCAACAGTGGCAGCTCCACCTTCTCTGGGCTGTGTCCCCTGAGCTTTCTGCAATGTCTCCAACAGGGCCTACACTTGTTGCTTCAGCCAACGGGGTCTGCTCCCCATGTTCAGTCCCCACAACCTGGGCGAGTAAAGTTGTAACTTCAGTCTTACTTGGAAAGTTCACGTGAGGCCTGACCCAGCAAGACTTTTGTATCACGCAGTGAAAATCGGTTTCCCTTTGGTGAACATGTATCCGCTCCTTGGTGCCTTAGTGAAGGATACAGATGTTACTTATTATGTGGATGGTTATCATTTATAAACAAAGTCAAAGCCAACACTTAGGACTTCAGTATTTCTTTGCATGTGTGCCCAACTTTGTTTCCAAAGATGACACTCTTATTTAACACACATATTTTATTCACCTGTGAATTTATATGCACATATTTTTATATATGTATGCATTCCTTAGTTCATCC